GCGCTCTGCTCATGGAAGAGATTCTCAAATGCTTCTAAAAATATTTATATGATTGGTGTTGGGCTCGGTTCATTCCCGATTCTTCCAGCTGCAGCCAGGTTTCCAGCATCCGCCCCCGCCCCAGTCTCCATGTCAGTTTCTTTTTCCATCAACATTGTGCACACCAAATTAGTTTAACTTCCATTGGTTTGTTTTCCATCTGTGTGTGTGTGTGTGTGTGTGTGCGTCAGTGCTTTTGCTCAAATACCAAAATGTTCTTGTTTGCCAAGTCATGCCTCTGTCATAACCATAACACAACACTTGCATGCTTTATTTTTACCCAGGCTATGGCCATTTCAGTAGCCCATGTGCCCTCAGTGTGACCTTCTGATCACATGCCCCGTGGCCGGTCCATGTACCTCTCTGTGGTGACCTTTGGGAACAATGAAACACAACTCTAAACATAACACCAACACTCTGCACAGTATAGGTGCCCCTTGGGGAGTCATCTGTAGCTTGCATGACCACAAGTACAAAATTTGTTGTGTGTGTCACTCCTACTCAAGTGTTAAACATATTAGAGGCCTTTGAGATACTTTATCTAACATATAATGAAATGAGGTTCATTCTTGCCTCCTAACCTGTCTTGTCATGTTTATGACAACTAAAGAAACCTAAAACTGTTTTAGCACTGTTAAATTTTTTATGTATAATGATCTAAACTTAAGCAGGACCTATGGCAAATGAGACCAAAAAACTCAAAGAAGTCTAAAGGTAGGCATGAATCAAGGGGCCAAGACTACAAGACTTTTACTGAGCAGAAGTTGCCAGCATGTGATGACACTGGTGTTTGCTTAGCCAGCGCATAACTCACTGCCTGACAAGCGCTGATCTAAATTTAGATTAGATCAGTTTCCTTATCAATTTGCAACATTGCGGGAGAAGCACCAGCCTTTTCAAAAACCTGGCAGGTAGTGAGTATCACAAAACAGGTGACTTTTGTTTTGTAAAGTCTCTATTCATTTGAAATGGTGTAACTCCATAAAAATTGTTTTTCACATTTTTATAACCTTGCACTTCTGTGACAACCTCAACAGAAAGGAATGCAAATGATACCATAGTCAACTGACGTCAACACCTCTGTTAAACTTATTCATTATACACTGTAGTTAAACCCAGCAATTACAGAACACAGTAGTTAACAGATCCAGAGATGAAAAAACAGTTTCCTTTCCTTTGCTTTGTTTTGCATCATTTTTCCATTTTATTTCAATTTTATCAAATGGTTTAACTAATTTAAGAATTGCGCCTTTGTAGGCTAATTCATATATTCATTTTCTATATCAATTTTTTATTCTACAGACAAGAAACAAAGACCAGTTGTTTGACTTTCAGTCTCTGGTACTGACTTGAAGGCTCCCAAGGGGCTGTTGACTAAATCACATACACAAGTTTTAACAAGCCTCCGTTTCCTAACAGAGCATGCATCACCCCTCCATCAATATCTCTCCACATGTTGCTTTTTTTAGATTTGCATACACTTGCATGCACCTTTATGTCACTATCCCAGGAACAAATGAAAGAAGGCTGGTAGATAATCTTATCAGTAATGACAGCGATTACTAGAGCTTTCTACTTGGGGTCTGTTACTCATAAATAGGCAGGTGTAGGCTCACACAAATGTTTAGCACAAAAGCAAATATAGTGTTTCTACTTCCCTCTCCCAAATTCCCTGTCATAGGAGATGTTTAGGAGACAGAGCCAGTATAAACTTTGTTTTGGATTTTGGGAGACTAGACTAGACTCTATCTGAGCCCAGAATCATGTTTTTGTAAAGAAAATAAACTGATGATATTTTTGTTTATGTGCAGTATCTGTGTGCTGTATATCATATTTTAATAGAATACAGTAAAATAATTTACTTTCCAAATTTATGATCTAATTAAATCATCTTTTTTCTTACAAATGGACAAGGTGAAGACCAATAGCAATCCTTGTGTTCTTCTGTATTTTTTTGATAAATGCATTGCTTTTCTTATTACAATATTATATTTCAGATTTGCTTCACAAACTAATTAACTCTGAGATTTGCTTTAACATCACCTACAGTATTCATGTTGGTTCTTTGGTCTGCAGCGAGCCGCTCTTTCATTGTTTATTTTTATTTTTCCCAACAAGATTGTTTCCTAATACATGCAAATTATTTTCTGAATCAGTAAAGGTAACACTAACCACAATAATTACAAAACAAACAAAAATAATCTGATCCCACTGGTGGATTTGGCAGTAAGCTATTGTTTTTTTACATGTAGATCAGACAAAAAGCATTTTCTGTTACCCTAAAAGACATTTATGTGAATGGAAAAATCGATGAGTGATAACTGATAGATCTTTTACAGGAGTTAATGCTTCGAGGAATTTAAATTAGAGATTTGGTTTCAGTGTGTAAGCCATTTGAGCTGTTAAGACCGGTCTGCGGTGCTCCTGTTTGAGAAATGATTTTGAAAGATATTAGATGACAGAAGGAATCTATTTGGGCTTGAAAATCACATTTCACCTTTCATGGTGTTTTAGATTTTTACACTAAGCATGCTTTTCACAAATGAGCTGGTCCAGAACTGTGTGGTTGTGAATACCTCACTGCATACAGAATAAGAGCAGGAGCACATGTGCTTACATCCACTGATTTCTCCTCATCTGTTAAAACAGTATGTTGCTGCAGCGTTTACAGCTTGTAACATTTATGTGTTTGTTGTTTCAGACTCTCCCTCTTGGACCCATACCAGGTGTCTTGTGTTAAATGAATATATCAATACAGCAGTGTCATTTGTTATTCAACCGCTCAAGCACATACGCACAAACTACAGCACATGAGCAGGTAATACGTTTTTACTGAGCAGACAGTAGTTTATATAAGATAGACCTTCTATAGTAAATAGCAATTTTTGCCAAATACCAAATCAAATTAACTCTCTGTATTGTGTAGAAACTTAGCAACCAGACATGATGTTACATGCATCTACTACATGTCACTGGCATGTAACCACCTGCTTCTTAAACATGTATATCAGATTCCTAACAATTGTTAAATGGTTCAGTATTGACATTTATTGCCTCAGGTTAAAAAGGTCAAAACAGACTATTTGTTGTCATTTCTTAAACAAGTATGCAAAGGACTGTATCATATTAATCACACAGTGTGTGTGTTATGACTGTTTTGGTTTGGAGGTGGTTAAGGCCACAGCCAAGGTCATTGCATTTGGCAGCCATGTTTCTCAGAAAAAAGAAATACAAAAAACTTTATGGTT